TGTTACGATTCAACAATTCTTTTGGTGATGCTAGCATCGAACATAGAACTGGCGAACTGCTTCACCAAACCATCTGGATCAGGTTAAACTGACAATTCGGATGTTCGAGAATGATGGATAGATATATTGGGTTGTCAACAGAGCCATAAGTGGATCATTGATATGTGAGTGTGCACTGAAACTTACTTGACACGTATCGTTCGAAGTGCGGATGACGACTTCGTGTGAAAAATAGATCCGCACCGGGATTTGAGGCAGAACGCATTTTCTCATACAGAACTGGCACTCGATAACCTAACGACGATATTTCGGAACGTGACTTACTTCGGAGACGTGAAAAGGAGCGTTTTTCTGAGGTTCGCTGCAAACCGTTTTAAAATCAAACATATTTGTTATCGATCGCTTCATCTCACTTCATATTGCTCATAATCTTATAATTTCTATACATGAATAAGTCGGTTTTGCTCATCATACAATAAAGCTGCTGTTTCGTGTTGACAATTAAGGATATTAAAAGTCAAGCGTTTATCAAAATAACTTTATCAATCAGTGGCGAGAAGTTGAAACATTTTCTACCTTACTGTCAGTTTTGGAACCAGATGATAGCGACGATATGGCGAACGATTGCTGAAGTGTCGTCGGAAGTGAGAGGGCGTCGTCAGTGATCATCAGATCATCCTCCTCACCCTTTTCATCTACTGCTCCACTTTTCTTTCTGCTTTTCGATTCCACATTATCAACGATTCTTTCTCTTAAAATGCTGTTGGTTAGTAAAAAGAATTGCCCTATTCCAGGAACCATAATAACAAATCGTTTCAATTTCAACAAATATGTGAGAAATTTTACAATTTTTCCGCCTCAAAATAATGTTTTTCTGAAACTGCATTAAGTTTAAAACCGAACATTCAACCCAATGCATCGTAACACTGATTATTGCAGCGAATTTTCGATAGGAAATCAGAAAATTTGCAGCGATATTCGGAGATATCAACGGATTTCGAGCAAATAAGAACAGCAGGAAGCAGAATAAAAGAAGTACCGTTGTTCCATTGGCTTGTCGGTTGTCTCGTTGAATGGCTGCTGTTGTAGCGATGTCTCAACATTAGCGTATAGGATTTGTTTTTTGGTGGATGGTGCTGAACGGGTGTAAGTAAGACATGGACGAGCCCTTTCAGGATCCATTGGTGGACATTCGTCAAATGCGGTCTAAATTAAATATTCCACTCTGATTGTGGGCAGAACAATGCGAAAATT